TATATATATATAATTACAGTATGTTTTTAATATTTAAATAATTATTTAGTAGTGTTTTTGAGATTTTTTCCTATCAAAAACTATACATGTTTTAGCACGCGAGCGAAACGCTTACGCGTCAACCACGATGTTAAAATCATTCCGTCACCAACGACAGGTTAATGAGTTATGTAGCCCAAAAAAAAAAAAAAAATACAAATTATGTGCGCACAAAAAACACGAAATCGATCGATCACTTGTAAATATGCTTTGATCAAAAACATCAACATCGTCGCTGATCGCAACCGCAACGCGTTTTATTTATCGACCCGAATCCAACTGTTTAAACGTCACTGGTTAACCGATATCGTATGTATACTCTCACTTACAATCGTTCCAAACTTATTGATGGCTATCCGTGTGCGAAAAGAGAACGCGGCCGACTTCGCGGGACGCCACTCCTTGTAACACGTACGTCGGTGGATCTCTCGTTTTCCAGTCCGAACGCTGTGCCATTTCTCAACCTTTTTACCCGATTTTTTCGCTTAAATCCGTCGTGCGATCCGACCAACGGTAGAGACCAGGGGCGGCTAGTTAGGGGAAATCTTGATAATGCGTCTCCCCTTAAAAATAATACAGCTACTTATAAATAATAACTATTTTAAAATAAAAATGTTTGGAAATATTTTTATTTTAATTGAAAATTTATTATACCGTTATCTTTGTTTATTATTATAAATTAAAAGCCACAAAATCTAAAACCAATAAACAGTTATTTCGACGGAAATAATTTTTTAATAATTTCGGCAATGGTCGCCGTTTCAACGCAACTGATGTCCGCGACAAGTTCAACCGTAACATGTAACGTTTTGGCTTGTTGGTCGGAGAGGGCTGAATAGAATAAGCCGCGTATTATGGACACCAATAGCGTATCCATGGGGGAGTTTCGGGTCCGGAACCCCCATTTAAATTTCTACATACTTAACGGTTTAATAGTAAATATTATAATAATAGTACATAGTGTATTTTAATTTCCAATTATCTTCAATATACAAAGTTTATAGATTATATAATATACCTATAATGTATAAACCATACTATATTATAATCATAGTAATTTGTTGGTATTAAGTTAAACTATAAATATAATTAGAGAACAGATAAAATAAAAATTTTGAACCCCCTCCCCATAAATAAATCTTGGTTACACTCCTGAGAGACACTATTGAAACTGGGTTCACGACAATAATATCCGTGCCATCGTGCCTTTATTTGTCGCTGTACGCCGCCATCTGGGTTTATCAGCATGTTTGCAAATAAAAAATATCACAGAATTGAATAGGTTTAAAAAAGAAATTTAGTATTAAATAAGTTAAAATTATTAACTAAATATTAAATTAGATAATAAGAATAATTAATATTCCACTAAAATAATTTTTCTTGCTTGTTGTTATTCGGAGTTTATGTTAAGCGATTTAAGTCTCCTCGAAATATTAACTACGAGCCGCTACTGACGGAGACGTCTACGCGTCAGGCCAGGTCGCCGCTCGCGATCCTTCCACGCGGGCACATGTCGGCCGAGTACCCGTCGGACGTGGATGCGATGCACCAGGGCTGGCGCACTCGCATGGTCCCGTCCATACATGCAGTAACCCATTTGTTGACTACTATTGTTTTTCTATCTGTAATATATTTGTACATTATCGAAAGGTAATATCTTAACAGGCGAACGAGTAAGATAACAAACGTTTTCCTAGAGCACAATTGTATTATATCCATTCAACATATTCATGTTTTCGTTTACTTTTGCATGCAAATCAAAAACTCTATTCAAACTGGTTCTGCTAAGTGTCAGTTCGTGTTAGATTCATCGATGTTCACTAATCATTTATTGCATTTAAAAACATTTATGTAGGTTTTCTCTGAAAACGATCGTAGACCATAATTGTTGATCCAATTTTGCATATTGTTCGATTTAATGAAAAACGCGTACAATGTCGGTCTGGTCCATCAGGATATCCGGCGATCACCGAAGGTCCTGAGATTTATTCTTAAAATTAGGGCCCAAAGAGTAATTGTTTTCCTAAACTAAATTAAAATCATGTAAATCTTATCTTAATCTTGAAGTATTATTGACGTGATTTCATTAGGCATAACCCCTATAGTTTATACATTTTCGTTCATCAAAACCAAACGAATATAAATATAAAAATTTTTATAAATTTTATATTAATGTTGTTAACGATCATGATTCGATAATATTGGCTTTGGGAACAAAAGCCAAAATAAGTTAAAATTTGTAGTTGAAATCGAGCGTAGCTATAACAATTTTTTTTTTTTTTTTAGTTGGTGGTCGCTGAATCTCATTCCAATACTATGTTTTTTAGGACCCATTGTACATTTTTTTCGGAGGTCCGATCATGAGCTAGACCGACGCTGAGTGTATATTTTTCAAAAGGAAAATAAATATTTCGAAATGGGGTGGTCCAATGGTAATTTCGGTATTTTTGTACGACGACGCAAGTGAGTATGCAATTTAACACCATACGTGCACTGTGTTCAAATCTGTGTTACCTGCGTTTCCAAACTAAATTAATAAAACACAAATACATTCTATAATATAGAAACCTTTTAAGCAAAAAAAGCAATACCTACATTCAGTTTCACGCTAGATTAGATTACTGGTTAAAAAAACGATTCTAAGTATACTTACATTTTATAATTAATGGTCCGTTCGATTTTTGATAATATCGCAATGCAACGCGTGTTCTAAAAATAATATCGAAAAACACATATGAAATATTATTTATTAGAATCATGGTTAACATCAGTTAAAGTAGGTTCATAGTTTCAAACGTTACGAGATGTATTCTTATCGTAACCAATCGTAATACGGTATTGATTTTTCAATGTTTGAATCAGAATATCTTGTGTGACGGCGTAAGGTTATGCAATTTAACACCGCGTTTGCACTGTGCTCAATTTCGAGGGTTTGTCGCCGACTGAAACATAACAATATTTTATTGAACATAATTTTAAGTATAATTATGTTATGCTTAAAATAAAAACAACGACCAGTTAATAATGAAACGTTGACCTAATAATGAAAAAAAAAAGTAAAAAAAAGGATACCTGGAAATGAGGCTAGTTAAGTCTAAAGAGCAAGATTTAATACTACGAACATTCCACTGAAGGAAATGGAGATCAGACTTGTTGATACTGGAACTGGCGCCGATTATAGAGTTAATAGAACTCGTTGACATCTTCGGCTACGGTAGGAATAGACAGAAATTTGAGGAGAGTGGACTCGATATTATTGCATAAGGGAAATTTCGAAACTACATCATTGGGAGAGGGAATTAGTGAAGACAATTGAGCAGCGAAATCAGAGACCCATTCTACGTTGATAGGAGAAGATTGTTGTGAAGTATTTACCTGTGAAGCATAATTTAAAAAGGAACCGTTAGGTGACGAATAATAATTTGAGATATTTACGGGAGCAGGATGAGGGACAGGATGGCTATGATGAACACGAATTTTAGCTGGAGATCTGGATTTCCTAGATTTAACGTAATTATTTAAATAAGGAGAATCCCGGATATCCGTGTTGGGATGGAAATAGACTTTGGAACATGATGTGGAGACTGGATGTGTTAGTATCATATTTAGGAGTGTTTAAAATAGACGAGACGTTATGTCAGAAAGGAAAAGGCCGATGTACAAATTTTATCATCCTTAATTTTAAAAACTTCCTTAAAAGTAATTTTGTTTACAACCATTAATTTCTTGAGGTCCTTTTGACGAATCCATACGGAACATGACCGATCAGATGGAACATGAGAACTATGACAGTTGGCACAAACGGCGAATACACTAGGTAATGAGCGAGTGGGACAGTCTGACGGTAAATGATTCACAGAAGCGCAAAAGTCACATCGAGGTTTACCACGACAAAACATTTGAATGTGACCGAACCGCCAACATTTTTTACATTGAATGGGAGAGCGTACATTTGGTTCCACTTTGAACTTGACGTTAAAAATTTAAATAAATTCAGGGAGAGAAGTCGATTTTAACTTAAGTTTGAATAATTTGGACGGTAACTGTGTACCATCTTTGGACGAGAAAATTCTTTTAAACCCTATGAGACCAATAGGTGAATCTACCCCCTTCAAAAGTCCTCTTCCGTGAATAACGGCTCTATCCGTATTACACTGAATGGATGAATTAATGAGAACGGAATGGAAGCTGACCAATTATACTCAGATAGAATTGACGAACTAAGGAAATTGCTCACTGTCTTAGCCGAAGAAAAAACAATTTTAATCCATGTAGGGCTGGCCGATATAATACATACGATGCCATAAACACGCTTGAACACTAATTTGCCGAACTGGAAAGGGTGAAGATTGCCAATATTAAATGACTTATTGGCGTATTGAACAATGCGAATGAACGGGTCATTATGATTATTGTCGTAATAATCGGAATTGGGATCCGTGGTAATAAAAGACGATACTGCATGATTATTGATGTTGGAAATTACTGTGACTCCTCATTACCGGCTTTATCAGTGGATATGGAATTAGATGACATAAATACGTCAACGGGCAGAGGTGAGGATGTAGAATTGTTGATAAGAGACAGTTGACTACCGTATATAGCTTTTAAAGTCGGTGAAATCGGGCTGGAAACGATATTATTAACGTTCAAATTCTTTTTATTATTCTTTTGATAGGTAACCAATGTAAAATCCGAGGTACACATAGACGAAGAGTCCTTCATTTTTCATTAAGGGGCCTTGCCAGGGCTTTTGCCACCGGAGACAGAAGACATTAAAAATTGAACTATATGTTACGGGAAAATAATAACTGCACTCGCGAATGAATCAAACGGAGTTATATGCAAATCGAGATAACGTTAATGACGACTGACACTGACAGTAGAAACGCGAATGTACATCACGTTTACACTAGGTTTTTATCACAATCTTACAATTAAATACATTATTTTTATAAAATAATTTTTAATCCAAGTACATCGGCCCAGTGTTATAATACGACTACCGGTCCACCGGGATTTTTCCGGTATCCCGGTGGGCCAATCCGCTGCTGATTTTGATCCCCTTCCACTGGGAATAATAATATTATTTAAAATTAAAATAACAAATTACAAATAAATCATTATCATTTTTACCCAAGTTATTTATTGAAAGTCTAAATAAAACTTCGATTAACAATAATATTTATTAGTTTCAAGTCTAATAAAACACATGAATTACAAAAATAAGATAAACAGGTCATCAGAAAGTACCTTCTCTTCTGTTAAATCTTTACTATGATGTGTTAGTGTTAATATTGAAACTTTGTACATACTTGTTGTCTTAGGTAGATTGAGGACATATAAATTAAATAAGATTGGAGCCAGAACTGACTCTTGTGGTAGTCCATTGCTAGTAGTTCGAACTACTATCTCCATCTGTTTGCCTTTTCTTCCATTAAGACGCAAAATCTGTGATTAGAGAGTATAATGTTGATGAGCTCAATGGTAAATTTACACGGAATCACAATAGATAGTTTGAATAGTAGACCATGTTTCCTACCTTATCATACGCAGTAAAGAGATCAATGAACATTGCCTGACGATAATACTGTTTTGATGTGGATAGTTAATGCAAATACGATTTTTACGGAAACCCGCTTGTTCTACTGGTAAGACTTTCTATCTCGGGTTGGATACGATTGAGTATCAATCTCTCCGAAAGTTTATATGTGATGCTTAGAAGTGACACCGGTCGGTAGTTTGACACGTTGGTCCCTTGTTTTCCATGTTTTAGAATAGCTATTACTTTTGCCTTTTTTAGTAGCACTGGAATCAGGGACGGCGCGAGGGGAGGGCAATAGGGGCAGTTGCCCAAGGCCCCGCGCCTCAAATTATAATTAAGGCCCTGTGGTTCTGATTTAACTGAACATAAAATATTTTATTAATAGAAATTATAAGACCGCTAATGTGCAGTTTTTATTTCAATGTTGTGCAGTTCATAAAAAAAATAATATGAATTGAATTTTTAATAATTAATTCTATATATTTATGAGTTTGTAACATAGGTATTAGTGATGCACAACGATATGTTTTCTATCATCGATATCGAGTCATTTATATCGATATCGTATCGCAATATCGAATTTCAAACGATATCGATATCGATATACGATATAATGATAGAAATATAATTTATAAAACTAATAACATTAAATAATACCAATAATACTATTACCATCCTGTACTACTTACATCATTTACCGGCAAATATTGGAATTTGAAAAAATGTTGAAATTGTAGATACCTAGTATTAAGAAATTTTAAAAAGTAAGTATGTTATTAATAATATTTATTATAAACAATATGATATTAAAAAAATGTTTTCATTGTATATTATTAATAATACTTACTGATTAATATTTCTTATAAACTAGAGAAATAAAGTATTTACTATTTAATTAAAAGTATGGATGGATTCATTATTCACTGCTTCTTAAAAATTAAAAATATTAAATATTGAACTCATGAAATCCTTCATCACATACTATACTAATTGGTTTTAAATCTTTGATAACAAATGTCATCAAACCTTTAGTAAGCTCTTTATTACGATTACTCTTTACAGGTAGTTTTGACGTACATACTTAAAAATAAGTTTGAATACCACTCGATAAACTAGATTTTGTTGATGTACACTGTTGCAAGTGTGATTTCAAATTAGTAGTATTACCACTGTAAGCAATAACAGAATTACACACACCACAATGAACTTGTTTTTTATTTATTATTATACCATTATCTTCTATTTTAAAGCCAAATGGTTTCCATATATGACTATGACCTCCAGGCAATAGTACTAATTTTATATTACTCATAATAATAATTTAAATTAAATAGTGAATAAAATACACCAAATAAATTCGAAAATCGACTATGACGACCGACGGAAATAACGAGACTAATATTGTACAAATTCTTTCATGTTCATGTTTATGATTGTTTATGTTCATGATGGGGGCCTTATCGTTATTAGTATTGCTTATTATTTATTAGTGTTTATCGTTCTTTGACATTCATTATTTGTCAAAACTGAAATAATCAGAAAATATAATCTTTAATTAAATGATATCGAATACCGATGTACTTTCGATAAATTAGTCTAATCGATGTCATAAAATTGGTTCGATATCGAAATACGATATCGTTGTGCATCACTATTAGGTACCATATGACATTATTTTGTTTTCCGGAATTATTAGAAATTATGATTAAAACATTGATAATAAATATTTATCAATAAATATGAAGATATTAAAACTACAGTATTGGTAATTGATTCATAGGCGTGTTGACGGGAGGGGCCGGGTGGGTCACTGACCCCCCCGGCAGAATTTGCCTCCAACAAAACCGTGCCAGAATAAAAAAAAGTAATGTGATTTGTACTCATTACCTACCGATAGTTTCAGTACAGTACAGTATAGTAGTAAAATGTACGTATTTTTATTTGATTTTTAAATGTATTTTTATTATTCATGTCTAAAAAAAAATATAAGTCTCATAATTTAAAAATTTGTTGTGTCCCCTCGGCCACCAAAGTCTGAACACGCCTATGAATCGATTAAAGTCTCAATTACGTTCCGCCATGAATGTTTCAACTGAAAATATCGCACACCTATATCAAAACAGTAACAATTCAAAAATAACGCTTTCTTCAGGAATGTCGGTTTTGTTGGTGATACCTTGGTATCATTCATTCAATAAAATGTACTTACATTGAAATCTGACGGAGAATATTAAAGATAAAGATAAACTTGTTTTTTTGATTTATGTAATTTCGTTTGTAGAATCCGAATATACGTTTAACTAAAAAAACCAACTTTTTGAGTTGTTACTGTTTTGATATGGATGTGCGATATGTACTTATACATTAATTAAAACATGCCTTCCTTGTACGATTGAGATCCTAATATGTCAATTGTCAAATGGATGAACAGTAAAAAACAGAGTAATTACAAGAACAAAGGCTAAGAAACAAAATTATTTCATTTTCTTTTCAGCATATGTCTTTTTTAATTCCTTCGTCTTTCTTGTCTATAAAGTGTTCACATCCTGTTTGGTCATATGCAGGCGTTCTAATTTAGATTCAAAATTATCACTACGTACACTCTTGATTTTTTTACCCTATATATCCATAATAATTATATGAAAATAATTCAATCTAGGTATTGTAATTTAAATAGTAAACCTTTATATTGTGTTTCCAGATGCTACAAACATCACTGATTTGAATATAGTGATACTCATGATGAAGAGGTTGTAAAAAAAAAAAAATAAAAAAAATCATTTTAAAATTAGATTAAAGGAATTTATTATTTCAATTATTAAAATCTATATACATTATAACGTATAATATAATATTATTTAATATTGATGGTAGTATGTATTATTTATTATATGCGAACGAAGCGAGTGTCAAATTTTTTTCACTTTTGTAAAACAAACAAGATGTACAGCTCTAATATTTAGCGCAAGCTCTAGAGCTAAGTATGTCACTGAAGAACATAGCTAGCCACATTTGGGTTTTAGGACCGTAATGTTTAAAAAATCCCGAATATAAGCCATCCAAGTCGGCTGCCTTGCCCAGTTTCATGTTGTCGATTGCCATCTTCACTTCATTTACCGAAAAACTGCACTATTGTCAGGGCGTTGATCGAGTGCTTTCTTTCTTACTTAATAGTTGCTTAGGTGTTAAATGCTGTATTTAAAAGACAAAAATCTCAAACAATTTTGAATCGATTCCATTATTTGTATCGGACTTACTCTACCAGTTGACTCAACAATAGAATTGTATTCTAAAATTAATTGTTCATATTAGCAATAAAGTGCATTTAATGCATGTAGTTTAATTAACCAATATGGATTAAATAGTGTTAAGATGTCTATTTGAGTTTATTAACTTTCATAGATTCGTTTGATAAAACTTGCAAACAGTATACACGTTAAGGACGCACTTTACCCGAATGATCTATGATATCCAAAAAACTAAACTTCTAAAATTCGTCTTTTGTGCAAATTTGTGCAGAACGTTCATTACTAAAAAGAATAAAAAAACCAGGGTCTTCAATAGCATATGATCGCTATTAGTTCACTATTTGTGGTATTATCAATTGAAGCTGAAATAACCACTTCATTAGATTTTGCTACTTCTAAATCGGAAACAAAAAGTTTTAAATTTTTTAGTTAGTTATTTTTTTTTCTTTGTGTTAATTCAAGTTTCATACATTATAATATACTCGTAAGAATTATATATTTCATATAATGTATGCATTATACTACAGAAATTTTTAATAGAAGTCATAATAATAAAGACAGTTTTTTTTTAGAAAGGGGGCGTCGTCAAAATATGTGGATGGGAACACCTGAAATTCCTAAATACATCACAGGGCATAAACCAGGTGCCACTTGGCGTCTTTTCAATTATTTATTCCGAAACAATTTTATTTTTAAGTTCTCATCGGTGAGCCAGCGCTCCTAGTGACGATTGTAAGTGGTGTGATGTTTTCGATTACATTTTACTAACGGCGTTCGTAGGGAATAATTACACTTTTATATATCCACTTCGAGCAAAATAATATTTTATTACATAAATATACAATACGATATATTATTACGTACAATTGGTCATTGGAACACATGGTCGAGTCCCAACAAGCATTCATAGAAGAAAGAATTATTCATGTGGCCAATGGTAGATCTTTATTTTGTAAACAACGTCAAATAATCAATAAAAATCGTTATCACCATTCTATTTGTGTTTACACTTGCGGGCTGCAGTTCAGACCGAGGTGCGCTTGTATATTAATTTTAATTTTATATTGATATAAAGAACATTATTACTATCGTACTTAAAATTTATTTCAGTATTTCATTATAATTACCCGGGTTACAAATATTTGATATTCTTCGGTTAATCGAAGGTAAGTAAGACAAGTTACCATACATTGTCAACATGCCCATATGTATATTAATAGTTTTTGTGCACTTTTCAGAATCATTTAAATACACCCATAGTGGAAAACACTATAAATAATGAATCGACGGAGACGGGCGTCATCAATTGCTAGTCGAGCAACTGATGACGAAGTAGAAAGTTCTCCAGTCGAACACACACGCAAAAAAAGACGAGTGGATCCGGTATATGTAATTTCCAATAGAAAATTTTATATTATACTTATTTTTATTTGTAAAACAAATAGTTATTTTTAAAAAAATAATTATAACCAGCCTGAATTTATTTAACTCATGGATCGTATAGTTTTATAATCTTTGCGGTTAAATATTTTTAATATTAATAAGCTAATATAAGACCAAATAATATAAAATTGCCAATAAATATTATTTTATTTCCTTTTAGTCATATCAGTAATATATTTTATTTCAAGTACATGGGTCCCCTAGGTAAATTATTTACTTTCATATTTCTGAAGATAATATATAATTATTAAAAAATAAAAAAATTAAAAAGTTATTTCATTAAATTTTATATCATCTAAATTTATTTAGTACTTAAAAAATTGTTATACAATGGATTGAAGTATAATACTTTAGATTCTATCTAAATATCTTCTATATAATATTCCTAAACTCACTATGTATTGACATGTTAAATTTTTTATTCGTAATGTCTTCATTTAGAATAATACCAGAATGTAATAAATAATTATGCATTATATGAATTAACTCTGCTTGTTTTTAAAAAGCCTATTTTATTTATTTTTATTCAAACTATTTAACAAAATAATTATTTAAATAGTATATGTAGTAACAGATTCAATTGGTGTGATTGTATTTTAGGTTGACATAGTTCAATCAGTATATGATACATTACGAAATTTTAAAAAGGAAGACGGCACTTTATTATGTGATGGTTTTATTAGAGCTCCCAAAAGAAGACAAGAACCAACATATTATGATGTAAATAATTTATTATTTTTCATGAACTTATTTTACTGTTGGTTTATAATATATTTTAAAATATTTTTGCTTTTTATAGGTAGTTTCCAATCCAATAGACATGATAAAAATTCAACAAAAAATAAAAACTGATGAATATGATGATATTGAGGATTTACAAGCTGATATAGAATTATTAACAAACAATGCAAAGTCATTTTATAAGGTAAATATTTTTATTTTTATTTTATTGATTTTTTTTCTTAAAATTATACTTAAATTTACATCTATTAAATACATTTAAGTTAGTAAATTGATCATAATTTTTATATGGCTTTTAAGATTAAAATTAAAGAATAATTTTAGAGCTCTATCATAATATTATCTTGAAAAAAATGTCAGTTGAATTAAAATTAGTATGTAAAAATATTAATACTAAAACCATATTTTTAAGACACTGTATTTTTGTGAATAATATATTATTTTGTTGATTTCAATTGAATTTATAACCAAAAAAAATTTACTTTAAAAATTATAATTTTAATAAAACAATTAAATTCTTATTTTATTATTTATACATTAGTTTTTAAAAATAGTATGTAAATCATTACAAACAGAGTAATTTTATTCTTTAAACTAGATTAAAATTAAAAATAATTATTAAAATTATTTTGGACAATTATTATTATTAAACTATTATTTTAACATTTTGTTTTATTCTATAAATCACTTTGTAAAATAATACATGTGTGTTTATTAATATTAACTAAATACATGTGATATAAAATCAGAATTTTATATATTATCTATTTTAAAATGTTTTGTTTAGTATTTATTTATTTTTTTTTGGTTTTACCTTAAAAAAATCTTATTTGAATTTACGTTATCATAATAATTTTAAAATAAAATTTTTTTCTAAATATTTTAATTTGATTTAAAATATTTAATTATTTAATAATTCTATTAAATAATAAGTATAATAAAAATCACTTTTAGTCAACAATAATTTTTAAAATGTAATATGTGTTTTTGTGATTATCAGAAAAGTCAAATTGTTATACAGCATTGTTTAAACTTTACTTGTTTATAAAAATTTTAATTAATTTCAAATTTTCAGAAAAATTCTCAAGAGTATAAAGATGCAGTAGAGTTGTGGGATGTTTTTTTAGCGACCAAAAATAATTTAATGGAAAGAGAAGGAACACCCAAAGAAAAGCTTGTTCTTCGTGTTGGAAAATTGGTATGTTTTTCTAGTTGTTTTTAAGTGTCAATTGATTTTATATTTGTTTAATTTAATTTACACTTTTTTATTAGGGTAAAAGAGGGGGATCAGCAGCTTCGGTATCAAAGTCTGAACACACTGATGAAGAAGAAAGTAATTCATCATTTGCTGGAATGGATGATGAATTAGCTATGTGTGAAGAATTATTTACTGCTGTAATGTCTGCTACAGATAATGATAATCGTCTTTTATCAGCTGCATTTCAGCTTTTGCCTTCTAAAAAAGTAATAACATTTTTACTTTGAACAATAATATTTTGAATTGTAGAAAATGAAATTTGTTTTTATTTATTATAGCTTATTTTTATCATATTTAAAAATGCACTATTTTAAATTTAGTAGTTGCTAATGCATTCCTTTATCCTAAAATACAATTTATATATGTATTTAATTAATATTTTAGATTATACTGTATTATTATGGTGGCTTTCTTTATGATTTTTCACTTAAGTTAAGCCATTGATTAAAATATTTATTTTAAAATGTTTTCGTTATTAAGAGCAATATTTTTTTGGTCCATGTTATATTATACTCTATTCAGTTTATGTTGACCCACTCATCAGATGAAAATTGATCACAGTTGAGTATTTTGCAGAGTGCTAGTGTTTCTAAGATTGGTGCCAGCTGACTGTAATAATGAAAAATGATCAGATAGCAACCAATCACAAAACACTTGTCTCTGGTTAGGAGGGTCCTATTATTTTCTATGGCTCAATTACATGCGTAAAGTGGTCAACATAAACTGAAAAAAGAATACATTTTTTTTCTTAATATTTAGTGTTTTATATATATATATATATATATATATATATATATATTAAATATATTACGTGGATTACATTGATTTTTGTATATGATAAGCTGATTACATTTTTGTAACCGTTATTATTTATTTAACTTAAAATTCAGCTTTTTTAAATATTTCTATTCTAATATGTATTACATTTTACATTTTTTTTTTTTTTTTTTTTTTAGCGTTATCCTAATTATTATGAAGTTATAGAAAATCCGATTGACTTACGATCTATTGCTCGTAAAATACAAGATGGAAAGTATACAAATTTAGCTGAAATGGAACGAGAATTATTAATAATGACAAAAAATGCATGTTTATTTAATGAGCCTGGTTCACAAATATACAAAGATGCTAAAACTCTAAAAAAAGTAATTACTAGTAAAAAAATAGAAGTTGATCATGGTAAATATGCACCAAGCAAAAGTAGTGAAAGAATAAGGTAAATTATTTATTATATTAAACTATCCTATTAAAATTGAATATGTAACCATAAGCTGTGTTTATAATTCATTTTTAATGATCAGGGCTAAACGTATGAGAGGTAGTCAAACTTCAATGTCTGCTGTAACAGCTGCTTTACAATCTGAAGATGAGGAAGATTCTGACTTAGATGAAGATACTGTGACTGATAGTCAAAGTAATGCTGATGGTCCTGATAATCCTAGATGGCAGTTGTATAATGCTGTCCGTTCAGCTAATGGATCACAAGGTATAAAAATGTTACAAAAATATACTTTTACAAATACTAAAAAAAAAAATGTATTTTAAATTACAAATTTAGGAAATTTGCTCAGTGATTCATTTTGGAAATTACCATCCAAACGATACTATCCTAACTATTATCATGAAATTCGTAATCCACTTTCACTAATGCAAATTGGAAAAAAATTAAAGGTATTATATATAATTAATTCATTATATTAAAAGTAAAATGTTTTTTTTTTGCACTTAGAATGGTGATTATGGTACAGTCAGTGAAGTGGCAGGGGATATGAATGTTATGTTAGAAAATGCAAAAAAATATTTTACCCCGGATACAAAACAATATAAGGTATCTTGTTATAAATGCATTATATTTTTTTATTTTAATTTTAAAATTAAACTATTAATAATCAAAATTACTTTATTTTCTCTGAGTTTCAAACAATTATGTTACTAATTATTATTAAAACTATTATTTAATAACCTTCTTGTAAAATAAAATCTTTTTTTTTTGTATATTGTATAATTTTTATAATTTAATTTAAGGATGCTGTAAAATTACAAAAAGTTATGCAGACTAAAGCTCAAGAATTGTTAGACTTAGCACATCAAGTATGTTATATATGTTATAATTCAAAATCAAAATGTTTGTTGTAATAAAAAAATATTTTTGTAATTTATTTTTTCAGTATTCTGATAGTGAAGATGATTCTGCTGATGATGATTTATCTCATTCAACGTCTCGAACATCTAAGAAATTTGCTCGTTCTCCGCGATGTCTTACTCGAGGAAAATATTTGAATAATATTCCTCTTAAGCGACGTTTATATGCTCTATGCAAATGTTTAATGGATTATACAGTAAGAATTAAGTTTCATAATTTTGTACTAAAATATTAGGTTGTTTGACAATACATGGTTTATTTTTATTGATTAGACTGAACATGGTCGTGTACCTATGTTAATGTTTATGGAAAGGCCATCTAAAAAACTGTATCCTGATTATTATAAAGTCATTGCCGAACCAATTGATATGCTAACAATTGAAGAGAAAATAAAACAAGAAAAGTATAAGAGTGAAGACGAAATATTGCTTGATTTTAAAGTAACATTTATAAAAAAATTAAATTTAATATTATACAGTTTTTTTATTATTAAAAATTATTATATATATAAATACATTTTATTTTTAGTTAATGTTCGATAATTGTCGTCAATTTAATGAAGAAGGATCATTAATTTATGAAGATGCAAATACTTTAGAAAAGGTACTTTTAGATCGCTCTAAAGAGTTGGGTCCCGTGTTAAGTAAACCTAATAAAATGTAAGTTACAGATTTGTATTTTAATGAAGTTTATTTTTAAACTAATTTTTTCAAACAAATACATTAAATTGTTTTGGTGTTAGTGTTTCTAGTTCATTGTTGAAATTCCGGAAATCTCAGCTTCCTCAAGCAACCCTTCAAAAAATGCGTACGTTATTCAACACTATTAAAGATTATAAAGACCAAAAAGGTCGTTTGTTATCTATTATCTTTATGAAACTTCCATCCAAAAGTGAATATCCAGATTATTATGAGGTTATAAAAAAACCTATTAATTTGGAAGTAATATCTCAAAAACTTAAGAATAATTTGTATGAAAGCCTCGATGATTTGGCTGCGGATTTTGTAGTGATGTTTGATAATGCTTGTAAATATAATGAGCCTGATTCTCAAATTTATAAAGATGCATTAACATTACAAAGACTTACATTGCAAACTAAGTTACAATTGAGAGCAGATGAAGACAGTACTCCTGATGTTCAAAGTGCAGTTCAAGAATTATTAACTTCACTTTTTACCAGTGTTTATAACCATCAAGATGAAGAAGGGCGATGTTTTTCAGATTCTATGGCAGAATTACCTGAGCATGATGACATTGATGGTCATAAGTAAATATTTATTAAAATAATCAATTCTATTGAAAATTAAACTATTATTGTACTTTATTAATGTAACTTATAATTATAATTTTAGGATCAGAGGCTTGTCTTTAGATTTAATTAAAAGAAGATTAGATGGAAATCAATACAAACGATTAGATACATTTCAAGATGATTTATTCGCATGTTTGGAACGAGCTAGGCAGCTGTCACGAACTGATTCACAAGTATTTGAAGATTCTATTGAATTACAATCATATTTTATTAGACAAAGGTTTGTTTATTATTTGAGTAGTTCATTTTTAAATTTTAATAATGTTATACAAATTACAATTAATGATACATCCATTAATAAATGTAGAGATGAAGTATGTCGTAATGGAGATTTGCTGAATTCGCCTGCTTTGAATTATTCCCTATTGGATTTATCATTATCGGTAAATGATATGAGAGAGAGAAAAATGGCTGAAGAATCTATTAGTGGTAATCCAGAAGAGGATGAAATTAAAACAGAAAACGATAATATTCAAGAAGTATGTTTTTGGATTTGAGCATTAGTATCTTAAATTATGAAAGTTAATTAATTTTATTTTAGGAACAAGAAGAAAATTCACCACCTCTTATTGCTGGCACTACTGATGATTCAGTATGTGTAAATCAATTAGTTTATAGAGTTGGCGATTTTGTTTATGCAGAACCCCAAGAACGTGGTCAAGAACTTATGATTTTAAATATTCAGCGATTATGGACTAATCAAGAATCACAACAAATGCTGTATGGAAATCATTTTTATCGACCTAGTGAAACATATCATTTATCAACTCGGAAATTTTTAGAAAAAGTTAGATAAGAGTTTTATTTTTCTAAAGTGTTAAATTTTAATTATATTTTGATTATTTTTAGGAGGTATTCAAGACTGATTTAAATATTACTATACCAGTAAGCCGAATTAAAGGCCGTTGCGCTGTCATAAGTGTTAAAGATTATTTCCGTTATCAACCTAAAGGGTTTAATGAAAAGGATGTATATGTATGTGAATCTAGGTATTCATCTAGATGTAGAAATTTTAAAAAAATTAAGGTAAATAATATCCTATAATGACTGGATAATTTTAAAATACATTAGTTAGATTATTTATTTTTTTGTAGAATTGGGCCTTAAGTTTAACTGCGACTTGGGAATTAGTTGAAAGAGAAGAACCTTTGGATCCTAAACGAGTGATGTCTGTATTTCGTGACCGTGTGGAAAAACATAAAGAAGAGATAGCTGAACTTGAAGAACATGAAAAAATAGTTGAAAAAGAAAAACCAGTTAGTCCTATTTAATATATATTTAAGTTACTGAGGTGTTACTTACATTAATTTATTGTGTAGAATGTATTAATACCAAATCCTCCTGGAGTTATTGATGATGGAAGCATTTATTATGAACAATATAACTGTCATGCTGGTATTCTCAAACCGGGTGATTTTATTTATGTGAAAAATGATGGTCAAAATCAGATAATACAAGTTGATAGAATTTGGGTCAATAAACAGTAAGTAATTCTATATTAATAAATGAAATTATCAGTTATTTGATTTAAATACTGAATGTTTTAACACTTTTTATTTGAATAACATTATTACTTTCCAATTAGAATTTTAAAATGAAAAAAAAAAATTTTTATCTTTCAGAGGAGCCGCATTTGTTTATGGTCCTGTATTATTAACACCCATGGATCTTCCAAATTTTTCTGGTCGACAGTTCTTCAAACAAGAAGTTCTTCTAACCAATAATGAAGAAACGGTACCAATATCAAAAATTACAGGGAAATGTTCTGTATTGGAACATGCTGAATATATATCATGTAAATATTATTTTCTTGTCTTTTATATTATAACTAGCTGAATTACCCGTCGTTGCCGTGTTTAAGTATATAAATGTATGTAACCTGCCAAGATTAAATTTTGTTAAATCTATTGAAATTGAAATTACTTAAGATTTTTGAAATAATATTTTATACATATCAATTTAGTTATTATTATAACCTATTCGATAAGTTATAGCTTACAACTACCTGAACCTCTCTACAGTTTGGTATTCTGTTGAATACATATAGCATCTCACTTCTCCGAATATTTTACCTTTTGTCAATAAGTTCATGGTCTTTTTGACTTTTAACCGAAACACTCTTGCAATTATATCATGTCGATCATATGATCTTTGACTGGGAAGTAAGAGCTCTTTTATCTCGTCCCAGAGAGGATTACATGTAAAAGTAATAAAAAGGTCAGGACGACCGTAATGTCTAACGTAGGTCATAGCATCTTGTGTTCTTTCGTGCTTGTACCTTGGCCCACCAGTAAAAGTTGACGGGAGTATAACTATTTGGCCTAACTGATTAGCTTTTATGTCTCGTTGTCCAATCGCATCTTTTAAATGAATATAACTATCTGCACGCAATTTGGCTTGGTTGTTTTTGATGTAATTTAGTCTTTCAGTTTCAATTTTGGCGTATTCATCTACCAAATATTGACTGAAAAGAGAACGATAATTAATTAAATAGTTGTCTTTCCCTTCTCTGACCATTATTCTATATGAGTAAAAACTTGATGCAGAGACAGTTTTTTTAAATGGTAACTTGGTTTTTGGATCGCGTTGGGGTATATTGATTGCATACCCATCATCCCCCCCCAACAAAACATTAAAGGATACTGCAGTGCGTCGTATGCTTGATGTATCTCACTGATACGGTGAAGTGAGTTATTTCGGTTTTCGAGGATGATGTCTCTTCGATCAAACTGCTGATCTACTAACACTAAAGCAACTTTATTTGCCGTTGGTGCATTATACCTGCCTCTGTGTTCTTCTGGTGGTTTTTTATCTGCATGTATTACAACTTTAAATGACTCTGAAGGAGGTATTTTATCGATTGTAAATTGTAATGATCAATTGTAAATTATGCGGTGGCATGCCTAGTAAATCCAATGAGTTTAAAAACTCTGTTGGATAATTTACAACTTCAGTAGCATCGCAAACTGTATCTAGATTTGTATGACACCAAGTTTTCTGGTAACAAATTTTGTATCTTGAGATTCAATTCGTTGACCTCCACATTTTTTGCTACTAAAATTGCTCTTTCTGCCAGCCACTCATGATTTGTGTATTGTCTGTGTACACTGGGACATATCTGGTCAATGAGAGCATCTTGCGAATAAATGATTGTGCAGAAATCGTTTAGTAATTTTATACATCCCGTTTCATCTGTAGTAACTTTCCCATCTCCAATATCTAACAATTGTTTTGAGAATCTTTTGCACGCAGCTTTTTTTGATTGAATCGAAATCGAAGTATCGGAATCGTTCGCTATCTATCTTTATATATATTTCAACCATGAATTGTTGACAAAGCTTATGCATTGTAAAATAACTTAGTCCTGATCACGTCTAATCATCAACCGATATGCATAATAATTTTTTGAACTAACATTCTTATTTGTTTTGGCACCTGTTGCGGGATCTTTTTGTTTAATATTTATGCAATACCCGTCATTTACTACCAAAAATAAAATTAATAGTTTTTAAATAGTTTTTAATAGTTTTTTAATAATTTTATTTAATATAATTCATTTTCAATAGCGCAGTTATTGACCTGGTCAAAAAATATTAAACCGATTTCAACCCTTTAAATTCAAAATTTCGAAAAATCCTTTCTTAGCGCACGTCTACATCATAATAGCTATCTGTATGCCAAATTTCAGCCAGATCCATCCAATGGTTTGAGCTGTGTGTTGATAGCAGTCAATCAGCTTACTGTTTTATATATACAGATTATTTTTTTTATTAACTTTTGCATTTCTTAAATAGGTCGTCCTGCTGAAATAGCTGAAGATGATGTTTATCTTTGTGATTCAGTTTATGATGAAAATACTAAACAAATCAGAGAATTGCCTAAAGATGGTTTAAAAAAGTACACTCATTCTCCAGCTGTAAATCAAGATGAATTTTATTTCTTTAGGAGACTCATTCATCCAGTAAAAGTAGGACTAATTTTATTGTTAATGTATTCTTTATTTAAATAAATGAAATTTTAGGTTGGTGCAATTGAAAATCATACTCAATTGAATGATGTTAAAACAGTGTATAACCAACATTATGATTCTGTATCAGTAAGTTATGATTCATTTTTCGTTAATTATTTTTATTAAATATTAACTTTTTTATGTTTATTTTAGAATGTTAGTTCTCCAGTAATGCCTAAATTAGAGCCAGCTGATACAATGACAGAGGATTCAATGGATGGAGGTCCACCATCTGTCAGCTCTTCTGATCTGGGTGAACGTACTTTGAATACTTCAACAATCCTATCTACACCATCTAGAAAAAAAAATCCTAATCATAAAAAATTGGTTACTGGTTATATATTATATACTAGTGATGTTCGTAAAGCTGTTGTACAAAATAATCCAGACCGTAGTTTTGGTGAAGTTAGCCGTATAGTTGGCAATGAAGTAAATTATAATCAGATGCATATAAAATGAACATAATAATAATAATAATTTATACATTTGTAGTGGCGTAATTTATCACCAACAGAAAAAATGGCATACGAAGAACGGGCTAATAGATTAAACGAAGAGAATTATCCACAATGGCGTCAACAATCTCTTCAAGCACCACCCCCTCCTGAAGGTTCTGATCTTATATGGGAGTGTGGTTGGGATAATTGTGATTGGCAATTTGAAGATCAGTCAGATTGTTTAGATCATGCTGTTGCTGACCAATACGGACATGTACAAACATTCTTTGCTGCAATTCCTCCGAGTGGTTAGTATAATTTCTCTCTTATGAAATAAACTTTAATTTATAGTTATATTTATGTTATATGAAATAACAATGATAATATTTTTAGACATTGAATTTCAATGTCAATGGAGAGGGTGTCTCAGAGTTAAAAAGACTGGTATTGCTCCATTTCCAAGTTTGCATCGTTTAGTTCGACACGTGAAGGAAGTGCATATACTTAAAAATCCTGGAAAACATGTACCATTATCAGAACGCAATAAGTAAGTACAATTAATACTTTTAGATAAAAGGTATTCAGTAATAAAACAAAAAAATTATTTCTTATAATATTAAGATTTTTTGTGTTATCTAAATTATTATAAGTTTTGATTTTAATTAAGTTGTTCAAAATATTTATCTTATTTTAATTAAAAAAAAAACACTAAATTCTGATACGTTATAATCAGGGCTCGGGAGTTAAAGCATTTGCTTATTTTTATGGATTGACTTAAAATGTAGCAAAGTGCTATAGAAGTATATGTCAAGTTATAACACTTACAATTATGAAATTTGAAAGTGCTTTTTTTGCTTTTTTCAAGCAATTTTTTAAAAAAAATGCTTATTTCTAGTTTTTTTGATTATTTTTGCTTATTTGACCAGTTTTTTTTACATTTTTATAGTTTTATTAAAATTTATATTAAAAGTCGTTTTTGATAAAATTAAAATTAAAAATAATTTTTATTTTATCTACGTTATCACGTAGTTTGTCATCGTCCAAGGTATCGTTGTAGGGTTAACAAAGATATTCCAATGCTGAAAATAGATCTGAGTGTCAAACGTCAGAATGATCAAGAACAGAGAGAACTGTTTACATTTTATTTTTCACAAAAATCCCTTAGAAAATCTATTAAAATCCTTAGTCTTGAAAGTGAAGATTTATTTTTATTTTGTTTGATTTTTTAGTTAGAATTTTATACTTTTTTTTTTTAATAAATTTTTTTGCTTAATTTTAAATTTTTTAAATGCTTATTTTAGTGCTTGTAATGACATTTTTAAGCGCTTATTTTAATGATTTTAAATGCTATAAGTCATGAGCCCTGGTTATAATATAATATGATAAATCATAAATTGCAATAATTTTAATACATTTTTTTCATGTCTAATTAATTATGTTCTTATAGTATGTAACTCTAATAGATAGTTATTTACTTGTTTGTTATCGTCTTGCCAATACACCGTATAAAATTTATCTCTACACCATTCTTATTTGTTATAGCCCTGCCATAAATAAAATAAACAAAACAATAATTATAAGTAGGGAACGGATTTATATGTAAACACATATTTTTATTAAAACGAGATATTTAAAATTTGATAAGAAATGTTCATGATTTAAATCATTCCTATTAATATGATGCTACTTTTATTTTACATATTTTTACATATTTTGGTATAATTACATATTTTTACATATTTCACTAATTTGTAAATATTTTTAAACATATTTTATTATTTCATCATTCATACGTCTTCTTCGTACAAAAATACAAAAAATTATTTCAAATTTAGATCCAGAACTTTTATCGCTATTAGAAAAGCTCAAAATATTATGCAAAATGAAACATTGAAAACAAATTTAATTTTCATCTTAGTGAATTTTAGTTTTATTGCACATACAATTACAAAATTAGAAACAAAAATATGTCCTTGAATGAAAGTATGCAAATTGTCGAATCAACGATTGCAAAATGAAAACTCGTAAACGGACCAATAGGAGAAGTAGTAAAAAAGAAAATTCATGTTTTTACAGAAAAAATTTCAGGCCATATTGATTTTAAATCAATTAATGACATAATTAGTGGCAGACACCCTTCTAAAAATTTGGAATTATCGCCTTCTAATATTATGCCCTTCAAATATGCTTAAATCAACCAATGTAGGTTGATGTGGAACGATCATTTAGCCGTTTTAAAAATATTTTCAGATCTAATAGGCGATATTTAATATTTGATAATTTAAAATATATTGTAATAATTCAATGCAACAAATCATTTTGATAATTTAATAATTATAATTTTTTTTTTTTTTAAATTTTTTTCCTACATATTTGGATGGTTTTAGTACATATTTTATAAATTATACTTACATACATATGTACATATTTATGTATTTTTATTACATATAAATCCGTTCCCTAATTATAAGTAATATTTAAAAATTTTATATTATTTATTTATGTAAAAAATTCAAATTTTAAAAATGTATTATAATTATAAATTAAAAAAAAATATGTTAAATTACAAAAGAGGCCAGTACTCAGAAATATCTTTTAAGATAGCTTAATCTTTTAAGAATGCTCCCCGAGACGTGTTCTCTACCTAAATTCTGCCATATATGATTTCAAAAAATTTCTATTAGTTTCACAAAGATTTTTCCCCTCTCCCCCTATGCAGAACCCCATATTCTCTCAATATTTTGGCTCTGTGTATGGATCAACAAAATTATAGGTGTGGTTAACAGTATTATGTTGGAATCCCGCTTGCTGCAAATTATTGTAAGCTTTCCTACAATCTGATATAATTATTGAGTCTGGTTTTGTATTATAGGTAACAATGTTTTCTCCGATCAATCAGGTATACTAAATGTAAAACACGCGTTGGTTTCCTACATATTCCACTGAAAATTCTTTGCTGTGGTAGAATACGTCCAGCATTATTTTTCTACGCATAAATAAACTTTTATCTATTTCGAAAAAAAACCGGTGCCACCAAATTCTTTATTATGATTATTTTCTAATATTCACACACATACCTTACGTAGATAATTTATTAAATTAGATAAAATAGATCATCTATCACGAGTTAAACATGATAATTGTAGGAATAGCGTAATATAGCTAATATGGTGGCGTGATAACAAACAACAGTAGCTGGGAGATTTTATATGGTGAACTGGCGAGGTGATAACAAACAAGTACCGATAGTTACTATAATATAGTTATTAAATATTTGATTAATAATATACTAAGAAATATGAGAATAAGAATAATAAGTCTTCCAAGTTAAGCAAGAGGAAAAAAAAGCTTTTTAATGAAGATTAAATATATTTCTTAAAATGTTAATGTATGTACATGGTTCAAATGATAAACATATTATTAATCATATAGGTATTCAACGTTAATATTTTAGTTGAATGATAAAAATATCTCATTTTTTTTATACCATTTTGTCTATATTTTAATTAAATGTAAAAATAATTTTGTAACTTATTATATAACATAAAAACATAATTACATTTATTGTTAAAGTTTAAAAATTTAAATATTTAAATTTATAAAATAATATATGTATAAAAATTTAAGTACAAACATTTATATGAATTCAGTAATCATAGAAATAATTATAGCTTATAAAATATATTGCTTGGTAATCATATTATCACCAATGATAAGATATTTCAAATATTTAACTTTAGTGTATTTCTTTCATATAAAATAATATACACTTTTTTCTGCTTTTTTATTTTTCATAGAGTTCCTTAACTATATTCTTAAATATTAAAATGTATCGAAGAATATCAAATTTCTTAAACTATTTTAATACTTATAATTGTGCCTAAAATTGAAGGGTATTTTTTTCTTTTCTTTATTTGATTTCAACTATCTTAACTTAATTTCAGAAATTTCATGCTGAGCACGCGCTCAGCTATTCCAACTACTTCTGTTTTATCAGTAGCACCTGTGTCTCCACCACCAATTGAAAATTCTAATGGTCTGGTTTTTTTTTTTTTTTTTATACTTACATTTTTGGTGGATTTTTGTTATCCTAGCATGGTTTTAATTATAAAGTAATGAATTCGTAGATTGAATTTGTTGTTATTGATTATCATATGTAGTTGATTTTTATAATTATTAAAATATTTTTATTTTAGAATTTGAATAATTTGTTATGTATAATTACATAATGCCACAATTTAAGTAATGTTACCATGTTTTGCTTTATTTATTTTGAGATTTGATAAAATAATAATAAGTATAACTTTTTAGAAATACACACTTTTTGATCTTATTTTGTAGATTGTGTTGATATATTATTGTGTTGATATATTATTACTATTTACTTCTTAGTTAGACATTTCATAACATCAGGAACTTATAGTATTTATATATGGGCTTATACATTGGTATACGTAAGCATGTTGTACATCAATTTTTATATTTTAAATTCTAAACCGCTTTATAGACATGTAGCACAGTCAACACGTTTGAAAAGAGAACAATTGATTCAACAAACACCACAACAGTTTTCAAATCAACCCGGTAAGTTTTTCCACTGTAGAATAGTTATAACATATATAAAGCTATTTAAGTAGTGAAATGTCTTAATAAGGAAAAAAGTAAGTGTGCTGTCAACAAATGATAACTACTTAATTATTTTTATATTTATTAATACAAATGTACTTTTTTAAATAATAGTTGGAGGAGCTGTCAATGTGTTAAACCAAATTAATAGGAATACTCCTTCGCCCATGTCTCAAAATGGTAATTATATTTATAACTAGCTGAACTTCATTATGACCTAATAAATGTTAAAATTGGTATAGGTTCGGCGAGCAATAATAGCATTACTATTAACAAACACCCAGAGCCACTATTTGTAACAGTGCCTCCAAGACCTACAAGGGTTTTTCATTCTGAAGCTTATATCAAGTAAAATACAATTTTGGTTGTTTTTAAGATATTAGTATTTTACAATGGTTTTATTTTTAGATACATTGAAAGTTTAAATCTGGAAAGTAAACCTAGTTGGGAACGTCAGTTGATTGCTACACAAGAAAATACCAAAGGTCCAGATGATCCAAATTCTCTTCCAGCAATTCAGTGGTTAGGAAAAGGAATTGGTAATCATGGAAATGTTTTAAACGCTTTATGGGCATTAAGAAATTTCATGATGAAAGATGCTATGGGCTTATCAAAAACTGATGAATAAGTTAATAAAAAATAAACAATGACTTTTTTTTTGGTATAATTTGTGAAACAGATGTTTATTTGTCTGTTAAACTCACTTAGTTCTAGAAGGTTTTTTTTCATTAACATTAATTATTATACAAAAGCATTAGTTTTTTTTTACTATTATCTTAAATTTTTTAATTTACAATTTACATTCTAGACATTTAATTATAAACAAATTATTTATACATGTGTTTTTTAATTAAAAATCAGACACTCTTCCTTTCCTTTCCCAATCACCATATCTAGTTGGTTCTGGGCCTTTTGGACCATTTTGTTCTCCTGTAACTGGATTTCGACCTTCCGGAAATTCTTTAAGTGGTTCCTTTTCTTGAAATGGATGCTTACCAGATTTTAGTTCATCCAATTTCCCTTTAGTATGATTATAGTTATTACTAATAAGTTTTAACTTAGCTTAAATATTTTACTTTACCAATTGGTGTCTTCATTTTTATTGTTTCCTTTAATTCCTCTTTTTTTGAATCGGTTGATTTATATTTTGGGAATTGTTTTATTGATGAACGTATCACTAATGTTCGCTGAATCATATTTATTGAATTCATCATGATTCTTGAAAAATAAATCTTCAATCGAGTGATAAAAGGTAAGTTACTATAGTTACGAACTTAAAATATTGTTTCGCAAGACGTGCAATTGTTGAACTCTTGGCCTTTTATTAATTTCCTTAGTTCATTATCTAAGCATTATCCGAAAATAAGCGAATAAAAACAAATTCTGATAACGTACAAAGGAATTATTTTAGCCGTTCCTAACTTCATACCTTTTAACAGTGGTTCTCAAATGTGTTATATTTAAGTATAGTTATGTATGTACTTGTGGATTGTGATTAAAATTGAAAATTCAAAACGTCAGTGCATTTTTTAACTAGTTAACTAGGCAACACCAGTGGCGTATACAAGGGGGGGGTGTTTGGTAGATATGACACCCCCTTGAGTCGTATCATATATTACATTATTATAGGAATATAGGTAAATCGATAATACAATATGAAATATAAAATAATGCACAATACTAATTACATATATACAGGTTAACATTATCGCGATTGCGACAATACGTGACGAAAATTATTCGTTTACGTTTTCGTGCAACACAAAACGTTTAATAATAATAGGTATTGTAGCATTGAATACTGATATTCGAATAGTTAAATATTCGAATAATTTATGGTAAAGCTATCCGAATTCGAATATACATTACATCTCTATTACAGACATTATGTATACATATTAATTAATTAAAATAAAAGTTTTAATTTGTACGTATTATATATAATATTTAATAATTATAATTAACACCCCCCTTCAGAAAATCCTAGCTACGCCACTGGACAACACAAATGTCGCCCAGTGATGATACTCTGTCGACAATATTTTGAAAGATTGAGCAAAATAATGCGAAACAGACGTGTAATACTATAATCGTACTATGGTATTATATTGACTATTTTGAGAAAAACATTTTTTGTCACCCAGTGAAAATTCCTTATAAAATGCACTGCAAAACATCGTGATAATGTAGGTATGTAATAATTGTACATACAGAGTGATTCAAAAGTCTTCATCCGATTTCAAAACTATGTTTTAAAAATAAAGATATAAGGGTGAAATGAAGTAAAAAATATTCATAAAATAATCAAGTTTTATTTAGTTTAGTTACAACTTACAAATGTTCAATATAACCCCCGCAGGCCGTCCGACATACATCTATACGATATTCAAAGCATCTTTTATCCTAGTATTGAGCTCTTCCAAATTTGTAGGTAATGGTGGTAGGTACATAAGCTTTATTCCTTATTTAGCCCCATAAAAATAATTCATACACTGTTAGGTGTATTGGCCTCTACGCCCAATTCTTCGTTGAGAGAGTTCGCTGTTTAGATTCCGGTGAACTTCTAACTAACATAAAACAAACTTGACTATCTTATTTTTTCACTGGTATATACTCGTAAATCGTTAACCTGCAATCAATTATTACTGAGCTATATCAGTTCGTAATCAGATGAAGACTGGGTTACTGTTGGTAGCAATTCGAAAACGGACAAATCTAGAAGAAATAAAACATTATACCATGGATCCCTTCGATCGAGCCTTAATTTGTCTATGACGGTATGCCTTGGCCTAGTGTTACCCGAGTTCATTCTGTTCGTTCTAAAATACAAGTACGCGTCGCAAACGACCGAAATAAGTAAGCAATGTTTCATTAATCGATAGTACATCAGATGAGATACACGATGTTGTGCTAAGACTGCATTCTTGCAACACTACAATCCAGAATTTTAAGTAATTTTAACTGGGTGGCACTTCACTAAAATTGTTTATCAAAGGAACATACAGGGAAAATCAATTCATTATGAGAATTTCGTTAATGACATTATGAGAATATGTTGGTTAAGTAGTACGATCACACACTACTGGGGGGGGGGCACATGTGCCACGTACTTTGTATGTTAAAATATGCTCTGCTACCATCTGTACTGTGCCCAATTGATACCTGATTTGAAATGTTTTAATTTTAACCCTATATTCGTAATTACCAAGGCAACTTGTTATCCATCCCGGTTAACATTTTGAGTTGAAAAATCTTTAGCTTTACTCAAGATTATTTTGACAAAATTTAGTAAAATAACTTAAAATTTGGTATAAATTTTTATATTTTTATGACACTTTTACGTTTAAACAGAGTTATAAAATAAATCAACCTTAGCGAGACCAACAGTTTTTTTTTTGATAGGTGGCAATGTGTGTTGGTTTTAATTGATCGTCCCCCTAAATGATGTAAGTTGTTTGAATTTCATCTGACACTTCGGTCCTGTTAACTTTTAAATTTACTGAACAATTTGTATAACATCACGTTCAAACTGGCACAACTAGAGTTTACATTTTGAGGGCTATAAGTACCCAGATAACACAGACTTGCAGAGGCTACGCTTCCACACTCGCATCAACTAATTTACTTACAGACAAAATTTGTCAATACTCACTAGTGTTGGGACAAAGTGATGGGAATTATTCGAGTATTCGATGCTACAATACAATACGTAACGAAAATTATTCGTTTTCGCGCAACACAAAACGTTTACCTAATAATAATAGGTATTGTAGCATCGAATACTGATATTTGAATATACATTACATTTCTATTGGACAACGATATAATATTGTGTATCAATATCGTTCCAATATTTTCGATATTGTATTGCGATATCGGAATTTGTTCGATATTGATATTGCATCGAATTTTATTTTTTATACATTTCGTAAAATAATAAAATATAATAAAATTTAGTATATGATATTTATTATTGGTACACCAATATCGTAAACTTTTATCTAGTTCATAATGCTTATCGATACAGATAACATTATAAGCTGTATCAAATGTAATAATAATGTAGAAATGTAAAATTAAATATAAATAATATAATAATTCACATTTCCCGAGGATACGTGTAAAAACTTGATCAGTTATATTATGAGACAAATCAGGCACGGATCCAGCCTACTATAACGGGAGGGGCGGATTATAAATAAATATACTCTATGAGTCGGCTAGGGATGTCCGGTTGACGGTTGTCATCGATCATATGGCTACAATAATATTGTTCTTATCGACGATTCATTAATTTATGTTAAGTAATAATATTTGTCCAGGGGGGCGGTAGGGGCGACTGCCTCCCCTGAATCTGCGCCTGAGGGTTCTAGGTCACTTTGTACGGACGAACATTAAAAATGCGAAACGCGGACACTTTGTACGGCTGGATAAAAAATTACGTTTCAGAACGCGGACAATTTGTACGGTAGGTTAAAAATAAAAATTTCAGAACGCGGACGCTTTGTTCTATTATATACATACTATGTACATTTATACATATAATATATATACATTGGTAATGTAGACTGCAGTATAGGTAAAACCACGTAAAACTTAACGTATATTATACTATTATAAATCGAGTTTTTAATGCAGTCCATATCCAAGGTTGTTTTTTTCATTTATGCTAGTCTGTATGGCAACAAATCCAACAACTTGGTCTCGGAAAATTAAATAAAGAAAACGAACGGATTTCAGTGAAGGGTGGAATAGTTGATTTAACAAATTAGTTGAAACAACTAATCCGAGTTTTTGGACAGTTTTACGGGCAATCCAGTTGGATGAATGTGGAAATAGACTGAATAAGAAACATATATCCAAGGCTAAAGATAGTAAATTAATTGACTTATGTAACCAGCATCAACAAAAACAAATATCTAATTACGAATTTTTAAATTATATTTATTTTACATTTTGTTTTTAGTTTTATTTTTAGAATTTTAATTTTTAATTTATATAACAGAAATCTTTGCAATTTTATTTTCTATTATAATATAAAACATACCTACTATAAAATGAAATATAAAATTTTACTGTTCATTATATGTATAATATATTCTATGATTAGGTCTAAATCTTAACACCGCATATACCATATCGTAGTAAATTGTACGGATGATGCTAGTTTCAAAATTTTACCTATATTGTAGTCCACACTACCAATGGATATATAATATATATATTATACGTATATAATATGTATAAATGTACATAATATGTATATAATAGTATAAAGTGTCCGCGTTCTGAAACGTACTTTTTTACCTTACTGTACAAAGTGGCCGCGTTTCGCATTTTAAACAATAGACCGTACAAAGTGACCGTTTACCGCGTTTGAGACAAATATTATTACTTATTAGTTATTAGTTAATGGTTTATCACACAGCACACACAATACAATTTACTAAAGCATAGAATCTAAAAATAAAATGTATTTCAAGAAAAATTACTATATTTGATATTGCGATTTATCGTACTACGATAATTATAGAACGATATCATTGCCCATCACTACTACTCAATACTAAAGGTTCAGATTATATTTTAACAAGAAGATTAAAAAGTTTCGTAAACCAAATTTTGATTTTGGATATTAAGTAAAACGAAAGCCATAATATACACTAAATAACAAATATTTTTGTTATTCGATTTTATTTTAATCTTATACACAAAATTCTGAGATTCATTATTTTTAATCCGGGAAAGTTATGAAAATGTTAATGAGGTCTAAGTCTCCCCTATTTGCATCTATGCGCTCGTGTCTTCGAAACACAATCAGCCTTATATTAGGGTATTGGTTGATTTTATAATAACACTGATTAAAGTAGTAATCAGTTTCTTTTATATTAATATTGATTATTGCTACTGGTAAGATATGTATTTCAGTAGGTAAGTAAATTGTAATATTGTAGTATTTTTCAAGTAGTATTTATGTATAAAAGTAGGAATTATGATTTTTATTTATAAATTACATCTAATTACAACTAGGTACAAGGGTGAACCCATGGGGGGATTCGGATTCGGTCCCCCCATTGAAATTTCTACATACTCAACGGTTTAGTAGTAAATAGTATAATAATAGTATATAGTGTATTTTAATTTCCCATTATCTTCAATATACAAAATTTAAAGATTATATAATATACCTATAATGTATAAACCATACTAAAGTATATTAACAGTAATTTGTTGGTATTGAGTTAAACTATAATTATAATTAAAAAACAGATAAAATAAAAATTTTGGACCCCCCCCCCTCCATAAACAATTCCTGGGTACGCTCCTGTCTAGGTATCTTATATCTGCCTATGAAAGCCTCAATAATATAATATAATATAGGTAATAATTTTTGGACGAACAATGAATACACCATAAAATGCTAATAAAGATAGTCCTTTAAAGGACTAAAAAAAAATTACTACTTCAGTATAGTACACTTGCTAGTTGCCAGCCCCCCCCCAATCATCCATCAAATAGTGAGTCGATAAAATGGTATTTTCCCGGGCTGGTCCGAAATTCCAATCCGTTCCTGCAGCCAATGATCGGTGATTGAATTTCGAAACGTAATAACACACGTTGGCCTTCTGTGCGGTGATCTAGTAAAGTTTCGTACAGTAACAATAAATATTAATTATAGTTTATAATTATATTATTACACGCACCCATATAGGTTTATATATAAACTAACGTTTTCTAATTTATAATTATATTTTAAGAAACCTAAAGTGAATAAGATTAAGTACACATTGAGGATAGCATTTGCTGGTGCAAAATAATATAAGAAGGTTAGGACATATTGAAAAAGGATAGTGAAAAAATGAAAATGATAACCAATGGCATAAATTGTTATTTTATACCACGGTTAACTAACGGACTACGCTAAAAGTTTCAACCATAGAAAAAAGATTGGTTTCAACCTTTTCAACCTATACAAACCTTGGACGTTTGCATTGTAATCTGTGGTAAAACGTTTTCCATTATCAAATTTTCTTTAGATAAGGAAAATAGTTACTGTTGTACTTAAACCGTGTGTTGTAGTTACAGTTACTGAAATTGTTCAGACTTCTTGGCTTCGTCGATAAGTGTGTTTTTCTTATTTTATTAGTTTATTTCAGATTCCTATTATCTGTTTAAAATACCGATATCTGATTCGATTTTCTACTTTAATTTTTAGTTGTGGTTAAAAATCCAAAATGAAATACAATTTCTACGTAATCTTTTAATCAATCGCGAATTTTTATTTTTATCGTTTAATCATTTTCTTACTAGAATTTATACGAAATGGACCAAGAACAACAGGGAGTTATTTACATTGAAAATTGGAATGACCTGTGTCGATTATGTTTACGCAACGATCAACCATTGCAAAATTTGTTTTATGAAGAATCCCTTTTGGAAAATGTGCAAGAAGTGACATGCTTAAGTGTAAGTCAACAATGATTTAATTTTGATTTACATTGGAATTACAATTATTTTCTTATATAGTTCAGTTTAGATGATGATTTACCCCATTCTATATGTAAATCTTGTATTGACCAAGTAAATTCGTATTTTGAATTTCGAGTACGGTGTAAAGCGACAGATCATTGGTTAAGAAATGAAGCTGTGATTCAAGACAACGATCATAAGGTATATTTCTCATTTGTAAAGTATAAACAGTGCTTAGTTTATTATAAATTGAAGTGTAAACTAATAGTTGATACATTTTAAGGAATTTGTACCGTCGTTCCAGAGTCTCATTTAAGTTTTTCTTATTGTTGTTGTTATTTAATGAATATTGGTATACATGTATGTTCCAGGATAATATCGAAATTGTAGAAGTAGTGGACATATGGAACGACGGTACTTCGTTGGAAAAAAGAGAAAACACAATTTCTCAATTATGTGTAGAAAATACTGATGATAAATATTGTTTGTGCGAAGATTGTGGGGAACGTTTTGAAACATCTAAACTGCTTGCTTTACATAATAAGACACATTCTTCAGATTATATTAAGTGCAAGTCATGTAATGGAGTTATTAGTGCTTTAGAATCATTAGAACATTCATTATTAAAAGAAAAAACTAAACTATGTGTAAAATGTACAAATTTAAAAAATAATGGTTCAGAAATAAACAGTTCCTATTCAGAAATTGATGGAGGATATTTGTGTGAAAGATGTCAAAAAGTGTTTAAAACACTTGCTGGTATGTTATCTCATTTGAGAAATTATGAAAAGAAATTAGAATTAGGTTGTCTTTCATATCGGTGTCATTTTTGTGAAGAATCATTTGCTACTATTCAACAAGTCTGGATTCATATGAAAACTCATGCACCTGGAGAAAAGATTAAATGTCGACACTGTGAAAAATGTTTCAAATCATACTTAACCCTTGTACGCCATGAGAATAAACACGAAGGTACATTCAACTATGTGTGTTCATATTGTGGAAGAGCTTTTGTTACACCATATGGTCGTGATAGACATGAAATGACTCATAATGCAGCTAAAGATGTGCAATGCGAAAAATGTACAATGACGTTTTACACTAGAGCTGAATATAACAGACACATGAGATACCATGATAATGTTAGAAACTTTTTGTGTTCATTTTGTGGCAAAAGATTTTTTGAAAGTGCTCATAAGACAATTCATGAGCGTACTCATACCGGTGAAAGGCCATTTGCTTGTATTTTTTGTGGAAAAAAATTTATGTCCAAACAAAAAGCACGACGACATCAAGCAATTCATTCAAGAAATAAAAACACTAATAAAATATGAAATTTTGTTAGGTATTTTGTAATATTTATTAATATTTTATAATCTTATTTTCTTAATTTTCCATTGTTTAAATTGATTCCTATATTATAAGTTACCAAATACTAATTTACGTTTTTTTTCATATTTAGTGTATTGTATCTATACATAGATTGTGAATTTATATAAGTTATTTAAATTATAGAATTATATATTATTCTATCTTGTTTTAAGATAGTGTTGTTTTTTTTTTTTTTAATCAGTCATTTTATAAAAACTTCTTTGAAATTTAATTGTGTTAAAATTTAAGTTAAGCACAAAAATATAATTTTTAAATTAGACATCCCCAAAAAAAAAAAAAAATGCCAACAACTTAAATGTATTTTAAGTTTATAATTATCATAATTGAATAGTAAATAGTATAGTAACTAAATAAATTAAAAGGTTAGACAATTTAACTATGTAATGAATTATCTCATGTATATATACATCAACATCTTTATAATTATCAAGATAAGGGTTTGGTTATTAATGAACAATTAATATTATTTATTTGGTGTTTGTGTAATTATATTTTTGAGCCATATTTTTTTAACCAAATATTACTGAGTTTCTTATCTTATTAAATTTTAATGTAATTTAATTATGTAATTACATTTATTTGAATGTAAGAATAAATAATTATTATTTAATTCACTGATGGTTTATTGTTATTAAATATTAATGAAATTAATTATATATGGATTATAGAATTCAGTAATTGATCCAGAAGTAATGGAGGATGATAAAGACTTATTATTAGTGGAGCCAAATCAATACGAAGAACAGCTTATTGATGATCCAGATTCTGTTGATGATCATCAAATAGTAGAAAATGAAATTGAATTATCCCATTGCATTGTTCAAACAGAGGAAGTTATGCAAATTACAGTTAATGAAGATAAAACATTAGACACAAATACTAATGATCATCAATGTACAATTTGTGGTAAAGAACTGTTGTCTGCGTATACACTTGCAAACCATATGCGTTCTCATATAGGAGAACGCCCTTATGGTTGTAGTGTATGTGAAAAATTCTTCAAAACAAAATCCAATTTAAATGAACATTACCGGTTAGTTTTTACTCCAGTATTATATTTTTGTATTATATCCAATAGATCTGATAAGTTGTCTTATTATTATCAATCATATTGGAAATATATATTTTTTAAATCAATTCATATCAAACATAAAAAAAAAATGTGTGTCTTTAAAACTGCTGATCAAGAATTTTGTGTTTTGTATAATATATTTGGTTAACATTATTTTATCAATATTTTTGGTCATAGTCAATTATTAATTTTTTATTTATAAAAAAATGATATGTTTTTTATAGTTTACCATTTATTTGCAATTTTTTCTAAATAATTTTCATAAATTATCTAATAATGTTAATTTTGGTTTTGAATTCTGGGTGTATTTTTATTTATACATTTTTAATTATTGTCTATCTGGCATTTCATTGAAAGTTCTATTATTTTTTCCACCTAACCAGTTTATTGTAATTAACAATGTATCAAAGTGATTATTGAATACATTTATAAAGCTCTGATGAAAGAACCTCATAATAGTAAATTTATTTTACATTTAAGAATTAATTTAAAATAAATGCTACAATTACTTGGCTATTTAACACATAAAAATCCTATATTAAAATTACATGTATGGTTTTTCAAGGCAATTTAGAATAATACTTAATAATATAATATTTAATTTTTGACCTTTGAAAAAATGGAAAGTGTTTGATTGAATATTTATTTTTATACATAGGCTTTATACACGTGTTTATAGTTTTACGAAAAAAGAGCTTTCGTTAATCTTGTACCGGTCCACTTATAGGCATATTATGACTAGACATGGGTCATAAGCAGGGCTCGTAAGTTCATGCATTTGCATATCAATCTTGCAAAGTTGTATTTAATACTGGATTACATAGAAATCCATTTCAAGGTATCACGGTTAAATATTTGAAATCTTATTTTACATGTTTTTGCATTTTTTGTGCGTTTTTGTATATTTGGCATATTCATGCATATTTCTATTTTACCGGACATATTATACAACATTTTATTAGAATCTATCAAAAATCTAAACGGAAAATATATATAAAATTAAAAATAGAAATTGTGTTATCTTTTATTTTCTTATCTTCTTGATACTCGTACATTTAACGAATAAATTTGTTTAAAAGTATCAGATTTAAAATTAATTATTGACAAAGACGTACATTATACGCAGTTCAAGAAGGCTCAAGAATAGTTTTAAATAGTACTTAAAATGAATTTTTTTTTAATTATGACATAAAAAAATAAAATATTGCTATAAAAAAAAATGAATAGATAATTCATGTTATTTCAAAAATTATTTATGATTTTTTTAAGTAGGCATTTTTTAAGTGCATAATTTTAGATATTTAGTGCATATAAATGCATATTTTTTAACTTTTTAATGCATATTTCAAAGCATATTTTGCCAATTTTAAGTGCATAAATGTATGCTTATTTAGGCATCTTTTAGGGCATGAACTTACAAACCCTGGTCATAAGTAATGAAAAAAAAAAAATCAAAAGTCAGTAACCAATTTGTAGCATAAAATTTACGTAAACAATGTCGGCTAGGAACTCGTCAGGTCGGACAATATTCGTCGAATTGTTAGGTTTCTTTTGTGCATAGAAGTTTGATCGCGTGCGTTTGTCGGCGCTTTCCCATCGCCGCATAAACCCGACCCGATACCGCGCGATGATATCAAAACATTTTATTTTTTCGGTGACCGACGGTTGAATAATGTGTTGTCGACACGTGCGCGCACATCGAAAAATATTGTCAAGCGTTTTAGAATGTGCGCGCCAACGTTCGAAACGTGATTATTTTTAAATTGTGTGCGCGCGCGTCGTTGTCCAAATTTCGCGCATCTGGCAGGGGCGTAATTAAGAGAGGGTGAAGGGGTGATCGCTTCCCCCCGAATGCGTATTTAAGGAATCGATTATATGTGAGATACACATTTCAAATTTTTTTAATGTGGATCATTTTATAACGAAATCAAATTACTCAAGGCTGTGAATACTGAATTGGGATTTTTGTCAGGTCCATACTTAGTGAAAAATCAAATAAAACACAAGCGTAACTTTCAAAACACAGACAGGAATTAAAAAAGAATTACACTTAAGTCGGTTCTAAGTAAGGATGGGTAAAATTGTTTGAATGTCGATATTCAATGTGTTCGATGTATCGGTGAAAAACCATCTATGTTTAAGAACATCGAAGTTTAAAAACATCGAAAACACTATTTTCTTGATTAAATAAGAAATTTAAGAGTTTAATTACTATTGTTTAACTTATATTTTTTAAAAACATACTAAATACTTATAATCAAGGTTCTTAAGTTCATATATTTGCATGTTTGCAAAAAAATTTGAGTTGCCTCCCCCCCCCCCTAGAAGTAAGTCTAAAATACGCCCCTGGCATCTGTGCGGCTCGATCGGGCTGCGTGCGCATTTGCACGTGTGCACGCACGGCATGCTTTCGTTTGTTTAATATCGTTACGTGCACGTTTTCGCAGAGTTCACAACCCTGAACTGCGTTGGATGAAGACGTCTAGCAGAGACATTCCGTCCATTACACGTGTGACGGTGACGTCGGAAGACATGCTGACGTGCGGCAGATGCTCCAAGGTGTTCGTGTCGTTGGACGACCTGACGGCGCACGAACGCGTGCACGCCGGCGGCCAACGGGACCGGGAACGGGAACGGAACGGCGGCGTCGCGGCGGTGCACGTGTTCACGTGCGAACGGTGCGACAAGAACTTCACTTCGAAGTCGTTGCTATCCGCGCACATAGCCAACAACTGTTCGGACGCCGGGAACCCCAACGACCGGCAGTGCCCGTACTGCGGCAAGCAGTTCCGGTCCGCGGCCACGCTAGAGAACCACAAGCGGGTGCACACCAGGGAGAAGCCGTTCACGTGCGACCTGTGCGCCAAGCCGTTCCGAACCAAGGGCAACCTGCTGGAGCACAAGCGCGTGCATAACAACAGCCTGTGGCTGATCAAGAACGAGCCCAAGCCGACGGGTGACGCGGCGGTCGGGTGCAGCGTCGGTGACAGGCGGTTCCAGTGCACGTACTGCACGAAACCGTTCCGCACGTACACCGCGCTGCTGAACCACGAGCGCGTGCACACCCGCGAAAAGCCGTTCGAGTGTACCGTGTGCGGCAAGTGTTTCCGCACCAAGTCCAACCTCACGGAACACATGAAGGGCTGCCACGACGTGGACTCGTCGGCAGCCGGCGGTTCGGACGAGGTGCAAGTGTTCACGTTCAAGACGCAATCGGTCAGCTGAGGTGCGGCTCGCGGCCTTGTCCACGGGGTTCCTAGTGCTTATTAGTCGTCGCCGCCACTTAGTGGCCTTCAGCCGGCCTTCTGCACGTCACCGGTACAACCGCCCCGTCCCACTTGCATCACATATATTCACGTGCGTATGCTCGGGCGAAGGGAGGGCGCTGTAGGATTACATCAGGCGGGACGCGTCGAAGACCGTTAAGTGTTCGTTTTGTACGTTTCGTACGAACGAAGGAGAACAACGATTATTCAATAAAACAATATTTCTCGGGTTTCGGTATAGGTATTCATATATAATAATGTATATAGTTTACACGTAAATCATAGTACAATATTTTATAATAATTTACATTTTTGTTAGTAGTTAAATACATTTATACATCATGGTTTTTAAATACAGTAATAATAATATTAATTCGACGTTATTGTTTAAATAAAACATTTTTGATAATAATAATAATAATAATAATAATAATAATAATAATAATAGCTATATTATGTATACCATGTATATAGGTACATATAATATTATAATTGTACATATTTTCATGTATAGGGTAAATCATAAATATACATTTTCTCGTGTAAAACTTTCATGTCCTTACGGTACACAGGCCCGTATTTGGGGGGAGGGGCCACGGGTAGTCACATGTCCTGGGGCGTCAAGTCTCAGGGGCGGCAAAATATTTTAGCAAAATTAATTTTAAAAATGATATAACCTAATGAAAAAAAAAATAAAACAATAAAAAAAGAAAATAGTATGTTTTATTATGTAATAATTTGTTTAATTTGTTAATTAAAAAAAAGTATTAAATACTTTTCATTTTTAAGTTATATTTTAATATTTAAGAATTTGGATTATGGACGAAATAATAAGTGTTATATTATTATTATTTATTTTTTTTATGGGTGGGGGGCATAAATTATATGCCTGGGGGTGTCAAATTTTTAAATACGGGTCTGACGGTACAACAATACCATATAATATATGATGTTTATTATATTTATTATGTTGGTACGTATGTAACGTTTGTTTTAACTGCAATAATAATAATTATAATAATAATTACGTTATTAAGTGTTACAATAATTACAATCGTATTACATTGTATATATTATACCGTATGTAATAAAACATATTTTTCTAAAATCAACCACGGTTTTGTCTAATGCATAATAATTATAATAATTTTTTTATCGGTTCTTGGAAAATTGCCCATCGTTGTCTGCATCAAGTTATACATACGAGTTAAAGATATTCTTACGTGTTATTATTATCAATTTATATTTATAATCACTACTACGTTGTGCGTGTACGTTGTGCGCATAGCGTTACATTTATTGCAATGATATTTCTTTGTGTTCATTGTTGTCGATGTTATTTAACAAGCTGATGTCACTGTAAGCGGGGCCAGTACTGCGAGGATAAGTCGGTCGTATGTCCTGGCACGGCGATCGGTACAGATACTCCGGGTGATATAAGACCTGTGGAATCGAATGAGAAAAAAAAATTATTAATACAATTATTATTTTCAAAAGTGGTTTTTTACACTTAAATTCACAGTGGAGTAAACGAGAGAATTTATTCGTGGGACGGGCCGAGACATGAACAATTATTGCCTTTTTATCGATGCTTACATACGAATAAAATATAAATACATACATAAATAGATATACACAGAGAGGAGTTTCGGATACTGTACCTAAATAATACAAGCGTGAAACGTTTGTGATTTTGAATACCTTGTATTCGCTCCTTGAATTTATAAAAAAAAAAAAAAATATTTCAGAGAGATTACTTGTATTGTTTTTAAAGAACCGTCAATTCAAAAATAATATCCCTTTTCGTCTGAACATCATCTAATACAATATTAGAGAACACACGACTAAAAAATGTATTTATTTATATTTTAATTCGCGAGTCGACAAAATGCTGCTTTTATACATTGCAACATTACTCAGCAGTTGCAGCGTTGTAAATCACTTCCGAATTCCAATCCGTAACATCGATAACGAATCCAGTAAAATTCTCAGCCCTTACCCTAGAGTAAAAAGGACATTATAGTCCTTTTTTTCCGAACGAATGAATGATCAGTACGTCGCGTATGGACTATTTTAATCGTCGTATAACGTTGCGTTTACGCTGTCGACCATTATATTATTTATTCGAATTTTTATGCTAGACGTTCGATTCTCTTTGAGATTATTACTTTTCACGTAATATATTACGTGTACATTCGTTTGGGTAATGGGTATGAAATAATTAACATTTGTAGTAAAATCACATTTAAGGCATTGATGGTTAAATTAAGATTCGATATGCTGCATAACCTCTGTAAAAAGGAACTCGGGATAATCTTGCAAGTTTTCGAAAAATGTATTCGACTTTGAACAATCTACTTGCTTGGGATTTATCTTAGACGTTTCGTCGAAGAAATTAATCTATCACCGCGTTGACTCTAAATGTACGCATCGTAGCCATAACTAGGACCCGTATCTATTGTATCGTATTGGACAGCGCACGGGGCCGGGACATTGCTCACCTTACGAGTAGGAACACTTCAAATTCGATTTCATTTTGACATATCGTTGAACCGCTCCAAGAATTCGGAAGTTTTTTCGGGCATCGGGTTTTATGACCGAACAAACATTAGTTTCACGATCCGCCGTAATTTTGGACGGTCGTAGTTGGCAAAGTAATGAAACCGAAACCGACGTCAACACCGGCAGAGATATCAACTGATGGTCAGCGGCACAAAGTATTTGGACTAGAACGATAATGCCGACACCGATGCACGTCGTTTGGATAAACCGTAAATTTCGCTGTAACGGCGCGCGGAGTTCGTACAACCGGTTCGAAAAAACCCTTCGACCTGTACACGAATAGCAGTGACTTATCGTTCCTATTTACCACGTGCGTCGAACTCAACGGAACCGTTTGAAAAGTCCGCGCGGTACTTTTTCAGGGGATACAGGTAACACGCGAAATGTACGCCGGTAACGTTGCAGGCCGTCATAAGAACAATCGATCGTGAAAAACGTGTAAAATTCGCACGTAGAATTTGACATGTAAGACCGGTGGCCATGAGAACCCAACCCCTCTTAGAAATTTCTCTATTATTTTGCAAAATGTACAACAGTCTTAAGACATAAGTTTAATATTTTATAACGTATCACAAGTCATCATCAAGCAATTTTCAAAGTTTCAATAAACCAAACAAAAAACACATTTTATATTTTAAAATTATGTTTAATTGAGTTATTGGAATCAAAAATTCGGTCGGAGAGAATTGAAAATTTAAAACCCCCTCTAAAAGATATTTGTCTGGCCACACCACTGTGCAGGACAACAAAGTGTGTCACTGAACATCATTGTTATTGGGGTGATTGTGCTCTATTTCGGTTCGTTCGTTGTGTTTACGTACCGGTGGAGTTGGAGCCGTTCATGTTGTACTGGTGGTGAGGATGGTGATGCGACGAATGGTGCCCGTTGATCGGTGGTGGCGGTGGATGGTGATGGTAAGCAGCGGCGGCGGCGGCGGCGGCGGCTGCAGCGGCCGAATGGTGGTGAGCCGGCGGACTGCTGCCGTTGGACGTGGGTGACACCGGCGGCCTTAAATAACCGGGGGCACCGATGGCCAGCGGCGGCGACGTGTCGTACGTCGGCCTGGACATGCAGCCGTACGCGTCCCGTTGGTCCCCGCCACCGGACATGACCGTATGGTGACCGGTCATGATGGGCAGGGACAGCCCGTTCTCGTTGTTGCCACCTGGCATGCCGAAGTTCATCGACATCGGGCTGGAAACAGACGAACGGTCGTATAAATAAATAAATACTTAATGCTATGCACGGGCGTCTAATTGGTAGGCAGGGTGGGGACTTCGGTGCTAAACGCGATGCAAGACGTTGTTTTCCGAATAGAAGGTTCGTTTCGTGTATTATATACGATCAAAAGAAATAAAGGATACATACATTTTAATACGGTATTCATTTAGCGACATCGGCTATTTTACATGTCTTAATTGTATACTTATCTTTCGGAAATATTTTTAATGAAAAAAAAATAAGACAAACAATTACCTATTTCTTAACGTTCGTTTATTTTTATTTTTTATTAATAGGTACAAAACATTATAAATCTTTATGGTACTATTTTTTTCAAAAGTATTTAAATCCGCAGCCTACGTATTACTATAATATGCTATAATTTAAATTTCATAATGCACGTGCATAAAGTATAACAGATTAGGAAAGCCCATTCTGCGAGTGTGCCAAATTTCCTGTTTCTAAACGTCTTTTAAACGCATTATTTAAAAATAATTTGATAACTTGTATTTGCTTATGCGTATAAACGTAAATAATATCATAGTTTAAATGTTAAATTCTACCATTGGGAATTGAAGCGTTGAAAAAATTAAGCAATTTAGTCATATTATTTTATACCTGAACGTGTCGTGGTTGCCTATGGTTGTATACATATTGGGGTTGGTATCTGGATTGTTTGCGAATCCGTTCATCCTGTTTGGAGACGCTTGTTGCTGTTGTTGTTGTTGCTGCTGCTGCTGTTGTTGTTGTTGCTGCTGCTGCTGCTGTTGTTGTTGATTTTGTGGATCCATCGATTGATTCTGGTTGGAATTAGGACGTCGTTGGGTGCGGAGTTTCTCTTCTCGTCGCCATTTGGCGCGTCGATTTGAAAACCATACCTAAACCATATAACGTTTTTGCCATCAGTAGATACCTACATTAGTGGCTTATGAGAACTGTCTAAATTTTCCCCTCCTCAATCGGGATTTTTCTTTTTGTTGTTCAGTCCAAAAATAAAGGTAAAGGGTTACTTTTTATTTATCAATTTGTAGTAATTGTTTTAGGATGATTTTAAGTCTAGAATCGTGAAACCGATATGAATTTTTGTGGCTAAACTCCCGCCCTTGGGTCAGTAACAAACTTTTTATTCATTGAACTGCTAACCGCTTCATGTGTATACAAATAAATAAGAAAAAACACTTGGACGTTATACGAATACATTGCAAGAACAGAATATCGAATTCATGTCGTGTATCTATTAAGCCCAATAGGTATTTAAAATTATTACGTACTGACTGAAACTGTACACTTAAAACGAGTCCCTTTAAACATTGTATATAAAACACGTTGTATCATTGCTCGTTATAATTTATTATTTTACGAAGAAATCGATGCGTGTATGTACGTTAATACAATATACGAGAGGTGTGTGTGTCTGTATTATACTAAATGCATTGATCACTTTCAGGAGGAACTTCAAGTTTATATAAACGAAAACTTTGATAATGTCAAGTTCAAAATTTCTCGAGTTTTCCTCGTTAACTTTAACTTACCCCAGACCCATGTTTCTATAAGGCTTTTGAAATTATACTCATCCAAAACTAAATAATAGTAATATTCGTAAAAATAAAGACCTTTACCTGTATTCTGGCTTCCGGTAATCCAATTTTTCCAGCGAGTCTTTCTCTCGCAAATACATCCGGGTAATGAGTCCGTTCGAATTCTGAACAAAAATGTATAACGGATATGAGTACAAATTGAAATTTTCGGATAAAGATAATTATACTCCCCAGTGGCGTATTCATGAGGGGGGGTTCCCGAGTTTCGACCCCCCCAGAAAAAAATTTAAAAAGTCAAAAAAACTTGGTACGTAGGTACCGAGAAAGAGAATATTAATTTTATATTATGGGTTTTTACTTTGGTTTAACTTTTGGTTATTTTTGTCGCGTCGTCGCCATCCGACGACGACAATTACGACGATAACGACGTAACATAATAATAATTATTATATGAATAGTAGGTACGCCGACTATTAATTTGCATTAATAAATAATAATAGTAGTGAAATATACATAATTTAATATAAATAATATAGTTATTACATATTTACATCATAACTCGTATGTGTTTTTTTTATATTATAAATTTATAGGTACTTAATATTTAGACCCCCCCCCCACAAAAAATTTGAAAATACGCCACTGATACTCCCCATGCCATTTATATACGATTTAAGAATGCGTACGAATTACAAGCTATACATGTATATAATTGTACCTTTTTCCAAACTGTCTATCTGATCGTTGGTGAACGACGTGCGATTTCTCTGGAGTTTTCTTTTCAGTCGGAGTCGCGCTTGATCGTCATCGTTGGCAGAATTGGTGGCACATCCCACTAGCGAACCGTCGTGATTGGAGTTATCGCCAATAGACGTACACGTTTCGTCAGACCCCATTCCTCCGTCAAGATCTAGAACTGAACATTTCGGATTCGACGTTATTTATTTATTTATTTATTTTACCTAATCGTATCGTATGTTCTTATGTATTACGTGGTCAGCAACGCTAACCCTTAACTGTGAAAACTAAAAAAAATATTTTGTATGTGGTTAACACCACTAACCACTATGAATGCGATAAGTGGAAAAATTAGGTGGTCAACAGTACTAACCACCATGCCGGAAAGAGTTAACTACATATATTAATGAACGCCGTATATTTAATTTTACTTTAAATGTATAAACACCACTATAGTAAAATATATATGTTATAAATATCCAAACAGGAATGAAACCCATTACAGAAAAATTAAAATATTTAGAGCATTTGATGTTCTCGGAGTTTCCATTTGCATTCGTCTTATTTATACGATAACACGTTTTTATTAAACTGCACTTTTAATGATGAGTACAAGAAAACGGTCGGGTAGTGCGATTTATAGTCTATACCCGACATATTAAGTTGGGTTCGGTTGATTAACAACATTCTACAAATTGTACGTAACAGTTGACATTTTCCTATCTGAAATATTTGAATTAGAAAAAAATAACAAACGTTTATATACTTATATAAACACTAGAAACTTGTTGTTATTTCTTTTTAACTAAAAATATTTTGCATATTTTCACAATGTTTTCAGTGATGTCTTCCGACCGTAAAATAGATTTGAATCGCTGCGCAACATTACTGTTGTAATAAATTACATATTGTAATAAAAATAGCCTTTGCTAGACGATCGCCTCGTTGTCCGAAAATTATATTTGGTTCGGAATTAGATTTACCATCGAATAATCGTATATAACTGGGAAAATTTGAATAATTACACAACGTCATTGCCAGTCTGAAAATGTGACGAATTGATTTTCTCATTCGCCGAACGTCTTGTAATTAGTCCCATTGTAACACGTGCACCGTCCATATACCATATATAGGTATACATCGCTGTATCGTGTTGTGGCCTAGTCTCGTTTGATTTCAACTTTCGTTGCGTCTGCAGTGTGCGCGAAAAGTGCGCACGTGTGTATATGCGACGCTAATATAGTGAAATCCCTCGATTGCAGCGCTAAAAATCTATTCGACAACATTTTTTGGTTTTCGACATCGAAAACAATAATTGCGTATGCACGTCGAGATGAAACGGTGTCACCGTGCCATACAAATCGCTATGGAAGCTAGCCGTGTTGTACATGATGTACGCGCGTGTAAACGGTTAGATTTTCATTTAATGTTTTCTAGGTAATCAATTTGTGTACGGGATCAGTGTAGAAATACGGTTTTTATGAACATTATTAAACGCGGAGACATGCGAGTGTGGGTCGATTTATTCGACATGTTATGTATGATGACGTCCGTAAGAGTATTTATACCGTAAATAACTCGTATACATAATATGTTATAGTAGACCAGCGGTTCTCAAACTTTTTTTTTTCACGTACCACTTAAATATATTATCAATCAGTCACATTAAAATAGATTAAAAATGATTAAAAATAGAACCATACAAACTTCACATAGTTAAATACATTTATTTAAAATAAAAAGGCCGTAAAATACTAAAATAAAATTATTATTTATTTATTAATACAAGTTTATTAGTGTTTTGAAATTAATATATGAGTTAAATATTGAATTTTTAATTTCCGTTCCGTCTCACCCGGACTTTCGCGTATCACCATGTAGTCTTTCACGTACCATTAGTGGTATGCGTACCACAGTTTGAGAACCGCTGTAGTAGACGAAATCGTCGAAATACGCAATACCAGCTCGAAGTGGTAAGTCGATCACATTGTTATTATTAATATGCAATTATGGTCGATTACAAAATTCTAAATAATATTGCAGGAAAACGTTAGTGGTAACATTTTGGCTGCATTATGCAATAATAAAACGAACAGGAGGTTTAATTAAGAATGTTTTGATCTGAAAACAATCCTATAAAAACATTTTTTTCGGATAAAATTACGATAAAATTCAAAAGCGGGATCTGCCATTTATATTATATAATAATAATAATATTATTATTATATTTATTATATTTATTTATAATATTTATTTGTCATTTTATCATATAATATATTTTACTCCGTAAGCGTACAGTATTATATGGACACACGCGCGCACACTTATACATATAAATATACGATGCTCGAATACATAATTTAAATGGAATTTCGGTAATGCCGATGGAACTGTAACTGCATATAAACGTACGAGTATGTATGTAACACATCTATGTACCTATATGCAATGTCCATTCAATGTAGGTTTACACTGTACATATATTACATTAAGTGATGTGAGCGAAGTATTAAAATTATGATCATGTACGTATTATATTATTATTGTTGCGCCAGCAGTGGTACTGCGAGTATTTATTAAAACAATTACATTAAAGATCAGAGTTTATCATTTGTTTCACCGGGTCTCTCTTACCGTCGGGTGCAATCCTATTTTACACGCACAACCGTTGCCACCGTGGTCCATGGATGCATCTCTAAATCGGAGAGATGATTATTACAGCATCCCTTCTCTTTACGCACACAAATACACATTATACACCGTATTAAAGTATATATATATATATATATATATACATGACGTCCAACGTTACTGCTCGTTATGCGCGCGCGCGTGAATGTGTGCTTGTGTGTGTGCGCAGGGGCCGACTTTTAGGGGTTCAAATTGTTCATTGGACCGCGTGGACCGACGGGTCGGGCCCGGGGGATGGTACAACTCGCGACACAAGGGGTTGTTCGGCCGTATATATACGTTTTTTTTCCCTCTTCCACCGCTGCACTTCTCTCGCACGACGACGCTGATAGTCCGCGCCGTGGAAAAAAAGGGCTTTTTAAAACATATACACATACATGCATATAATATGCACGCAATATACGCACGCATAACGCGCTCGATCCGTATTCACAACAGCCGGCGTAACAAAAATCGGTCCAGAGGTGTGTTTTTAGTGCGTGTGTGTATACACAACACACACACACACACACACACTCATAAATATATATACATAATACGCACGGGGGTATCTTTGTACAATATTTATCGCGTATGTTATACTCCGTACAAATATACGTTATATATGCGTGTGAGTGTGCGTGTACTTACTCCAATCGCACTGTCATTGCGTGTACACGTGGTAAATATAATATACGCGCGTATGTGTTGTAAACGGTGCGAAAAAAAAAATCCCTCGCTAATAATAATGACATGCCCGCGTGTATACCGCATTTATTTATATAAATTATATACCCCTTCTCGCGAGACCGTTTAAAACCACCCCTCATCGCTTCCATCCCACCAATCGAAGCACGCGCAAACGCTTCTCATGCAGCAGGAGAAAAACTCGTCGATCATTCTTTTTTATGGGATTTTCCTTTGCACCCCCCTACCTCTCTCGGTCCCATGAAATACTGCAGATACGTCGATAATAAATATGCATGTAACGTGCGTGATCCAATTGTTGAAATATTTTGCACACAAATTCGCGATGAAAACCAGTGACGTGTTCAGCATGAAGTATTTAGGTAGGCTCGTTTTGCTCTGCAAAATCCGTTAGGTACCCATACCACGAAGGGAAGATACGAAGCCTAGCATAAAACGTGGAGTGAATTTTCGGATTTTCTATCCATTAAAATTGACCATGTATGATGCGTGAAAAAAAAACCTAACCAGTTAAAAAAGAATCTAGGTAACCGGACTCTAGTCGACCTACCCCAGTAAACGCGCTTCCGTTGGAAACGGTTTAAATTTGTCGTGGAATCTGTTGGTGTGTATTTTCGACTGGCCGCAACGACGGGAAAATGGGTATCGTCGTCGTGTTCGTAGCAGACATAACTCACGGCCTTACGCTTATTTATGTGTGTACCCCGGTCGCGTTACACGCACACACATATACATACTGCGGAAGCAGATAAAGTAAAATTTAGTTTCGACCGAATTCGTGTAAGGAGGGATGGGGGGGGGGGGGCGAGTTTATATACGTATAGCGTAAAGCATTGCACACGGCGCGAGCGGTTGGAAAAAGCTACGGCTGCGGTCCGCGGGGGTGTGTCGCGTGGAGGGAAGTAAGACCGTATCGCTTCAGTCGGACGGAGCGCGGGCGGGATGACTATGCCGTGGTGTAGGTTTTTCGCGTTGCACGCGGGGACGGGAGGGACCAGTTGTCGCGCCAAACTCCTGCGTGCGTTTATCGCGCCGGGTACGCGTGGCGGTGTGCAGGCGCTCGACAACGATAGGAGAGAGAGAGAGAGAGAGAGAGAGAGAGAGAGACGGCGGAGACGGAGGAGAGAAGTCACGCGAGTATAGTATATTAAATATATGTATATACGTTCCTGTATATTATTATTATTATATATACTGGCCGTAGGAACGCGCGCGCGTTCGTTCCGTCTTATCGGCAACTTTCTACTCGAACGCTTCCCATTCATTTGGGCGGCCCGTCGGTTAAATAATGTCGCGGCGGTGGCGGCGGCCACGCTCGTTATCAAGCGCACACCCGCGCACGCTCACGCCACTTTTCCTATTCCTCTCGTCGCCCGCCCCGCTTTTCCGCACCGTACACGTATATATAGACACGTAGCCCAACTGTACGTGTACGCGTATCGCGCTCGTGTATGATATACGCACTATAATTCAACCGCAGCAGATACGCGAGACACCGCCATGTGTATATAGGTGCGGGCGGTGAACAATGTTTTTGTAACCACGCCGTGTGCACCACACACCGTGCACTCGTGTCTTTGTATATATATATATATGTACGTACGATATTCACTTATCTAGTAAACGGAACAGGAGACGAAGAGGGATGGGTTAAGGAGAAGGAGAATGTATGTGAGAGACAGAGAGAATAGTGCGAGAGGAAGCGAAGGAGAAATTATTACTGTTATATGACGCGTAGTAACGCCTGCCACTACTATATATATATATACATATACACACACTGTAGGTGAGGATTGATGG